AAAAGAGAGTTGCTTTCCTTTATAAATTGAAGTTTGAAATTAAAAACTTAATACCATTTAGGAACAAGACAGGGATGCCCACTTTCACTGTTGTGATTTAAGATAGTACTGGAAGTCCTAGCCTCAGCAATCAGACAACTAAAAGAAATAAAGGACATACAAGTCAGCAAGGAAAAGTCAAACTTTCACTATCTGCAGATGACATGATACTCCATGCAAAAAACATGAAAGATTCCACTAAAAAATTACGAGAACTGATACATGAATTCAACAAGGTTGCAAGATATAAAATCAATGTACAGAAATTTGTTGCATTTCTATACACCAATAATGAAGCAGCAGAAAGACATTAAGGAATCAATCCCATTTACAATTGGACCAAAATCCATAATATACCTAGGAATAAACCCAACCAAAGAAGTAAAAGATCTGTACTCTGAAAACTATAGAACACTTATGAAAGAAACTGAAGAAGATGCAAAGAAATGGCAAAACATTCCATGCTGTGGATTGGAAGAACAAATATTGTTTAAAATGTCTATACTACCCAAACCAATCTACACATTTAATGCAGTCCCTATCAAAATACAGCCAGCATTCAAGGGCACTTGGGTGACTCAGTCGGTTGAGAATCCAACTTGGGCTCAGGTCATGATCTCACGGTTCATGAGTTCGAGCCCCGCATCGGGCTCTGTGCTGATGGCCAGGAGCCTGCTTCAGATACTGTCTCGTCTCTCTCTGTTCCTCCCCTGCCCGTGCTCTATCTCTCTCTCAAAAATAAACATTAAAGAAAAAAATACAACCAGCATTCTTCCCAGAGCTATAACAAACAATCCTAAAATTTGTATGGAACCAAATGAGGCCCCAAAAACAATCTTGAAAAAGAAAAAGCTGGAGGCATCACAATTCCAGACTTCAAGCTATATTACAAAGCTCTATTCATCAAGACAGTATGGTACTGGCACAAAAACAGACACATAGATCAGGGAAACAGAACAGAAGACCCAGAAATGGACCCACAACTATATGGTCAACTCATCTTCAACAAAGCAGCAAAGAATATCCCATGGAAAAAAGTCTCTTCAGCAAATGGTGTTGGGAAAACAGATCAGCAATACAGAAGAATGAAACTGGACCACTTTCTTACTCCATTCACAAAAATAAATTCAAAATGGATGAAACGCCTAAATAAAGAGACAGGAAACCATCAGAATCCTAAAGGGGAACACAGGCAGTAACTGCTTTGACCTTGGCCACAGTAACTTCTTACTAGGCACATCTGAAGCAAGGGAAACAAGCAAAAATGAACTATTGGACTTCATCAAGAATAAAAGCTTCTGCACAGCAAAGGAAACAATCAACAAAACTAAAAGACAGCCTACAGAATGGGAGAAGATATTTGCAAATGATCTGATAAAAGATTAGTATCTAAAATCTATAAAGAACATATCAAACTCAACACCCAAAAATCTAATAACCCAGCTAAGAAATGGACAAAAGACATGAACAGGCATCCAAAGAAGATATCTAGATGACTGACAGAAACATGAAAAGATGCTCAATCTCATTCATCAGGGAAATACAAATCAAAACCAGGATCAGATCCCACCTAATACCTCAGAATGGCTAAAAGTAACAAGACAGGAAACAACAGATATTGCAAGGATATAGGGAAGGGGAACTCTCTTGCACTGTTGGTGGGAATGCAAACTGGTGCAGCCACTCTGGAAAACATAATGGCGGTTCCTCAAAAAGTTAAAAATAGAAGTACTCTGTCACCCAGCAATTGCACAACTAGGTATTTACCCACAGGATACAAAAATACTGATTCAAAGGTGTATATGCACCTGATGTTTATAGCAGCATTATCAACAATAGCCAAACTATGGAGAGGGTCCAAACACACAATGGAATATTATTCAGCCATTAAAAAGAATGAAATCTTACCATTTGCAATGACCTGAATAGAGCTAGAGTGTGTTATGCTAAGCAAAATAAAATGAGAGAAAGACAAATACTCATATGTGGAATTTACAACAGATGAACGTAGGAGAAGGGAAGAGAAAAACAGGGAGGTAAACCACAAGAGACTCTTAGTATGGAGAAACAGGGTTGATGGAGAGGTGGGTGGGGAATGGGCTAAAGGAGTGATGGGTATTAAGGTGGGCACTTGTGATGAGTACTAGGTGTTATATGTAAGTGATGAATTATTAAATTCTACACCTGAAACCCATTTTACCATTTGTGCGAAATCTAATGGTAAATATAAAATCTAATTTTTATTTAAAAAAATTTTTAACACTCATTTTTGAGAGAGACAGAGCATGAGTGGGGGAGGGGCAGAGAGAGAGGGAGATACAGAATCCGAAGCAGGCTCCAGGCTCTGAGCTGTCAGCACAGAACCTGACACAGGCTCAAACTCATGAACCACAAGATCATGACCTGAGCTGAGGTCAAGACGCTTAATGGACTGAGCCACCAAGGAGTCCCAGCATTAAACAGAATTTAAATAAAAACTTGAAATAAAAAACACAATACCATTTATATTAGTCCTAGCTAATGCAATCTAAGGCAAGTAAAGGCAATAAAATATATAGATTTGGAAGGAAGAAATAAAAGCTGTCTTTGTTAGCAGATGACATGATGTCTATTTAGAAAATCTAAAAGAACTGACACAAAAAAACTTCTGGAATAAGTGACTATTATAGCAAGTTTGCAGGATACAAGATTAATATGCAAAAGTCAATCACTTTCCCATATAGCCAATGGACAATTGAAATTTAAATTAAGAACAATACTATTTACATTAGTACCCCCCAAAATGAACTACTTAGGTATAAATCTAACAAAATATATATAAGATGTATATGAGGAAAAGTACAAAACTGATGAAATTAAAGAAGTGAATAAATGGAGAGATGCCATGTTGACGGAGAGGAAGAGCCAACATTCTCAAAATGTCTTTTCTTCCCAACTTGATCTATAGAGTCAATGCAATCCCAGTAAAAATTCCAATAAATTATTTTGTAGATATTGACAAACTAATTCCAGTTTCTATGGTGAAGCAAGAGACCCAGAAAAGCCAACACAATATTGAAGAACAAAGTCAGAGAATTGACAATACCCAACTTCAGAACTTACTATACAGCTACAGTAGTCAAAACATTGTGGGACTGACAAAAGACTAGACAGATCAGTTATACAGAATAGAAAGCCCGGTAATAGACCCACATATAGACAACTGATCTTTGACAAGGTAATAAAGATATTTTAATGGAGAAAGAATAGTCTTTTCAACAAATGATGCTGAAAGTACCCACATGCGAAAAAAAATCTAGATACTTCTGAGTTTACATTTTTCACAAAAATTATGTCAAAATGAATCATAAACCTGAAATTATAACATAAGACTATAAAACTTCTAGAAGATAACAGAAAACAGGTGACTCTGGGCTTGACAATGAATATATCACACAAAAATGTCTGTATATGTGCACAAGAATACATATAGAAGAATGTTCATAGTAGCATTATTCATAGTAGCCTCAACCATAAACAGTTCAATAAACAGAATAGATTTATTTATCCAACATGATGGAGATGTACAAAAAAACCTAAATGAAAATGAATTAATTGCAGCTATGCAACAATATCAATGAAACTCACATAATGTGTATCAAAAGAAGGTAGACATAAAAAAATAACATAGTGTGATGAACGATACAACAATTATTATTGTATAATAAAAACCTGGATGCTTTGTAGTAAAACCATAAGAAAATCAAGGAAGAAATAACCATAAATGTCAGGCTATTGCTTACCTTTGAGGAGGAGGAAGGGATTAGTGATTGAAGTGCAGTGCAAGAGAAACTTCTGCATTGCTGCCTGTGTTCTCTTGGTAGAGTGGCAGTGTTTTTAATTTTTTAAATATTTATTGATTTGGGGGAGAGCACAAGTGAAGGTGGGTGCAGAGAGGGGGACTGGTGATCCGAAGCGGCCTCTGCACTGACAGGCTACAGCAGAGAGCCCAATGTGGGGCCTGAACTCCCAAACTGTGAGATCATGACCTGAGCTGAAGTCAGACACTCATCCCACTGAGCCACCCAGGTGCCCATGTAGGGTGGTGGTTTTATAGGTGTTCACTTTGTAATGAATTGTTGAATAATGTGTGCTTTTATGTGTGCTTTGCTATATGTGCATTTTATTTTGTAATAAAGTTAAAATCTTTGGAAAGAATTAAATTATATAATTTACCATATAAGTTGGGAGTAGAGGAAGCTGCATTATAGTGTTCTAAGCTCATGGTAACGCAGGAGGAATGAAGATATCGCTTAAGCTAGACTGTTAAGGATGCATGCAATAATCTCTTTGGTAGTCATTAAAAGAAGAGAAATAGGAAATAGCTTCAAATACAGGAAAGTTGGAATGAGAAAAGAAAAATATAACTCAAAACAGCAAAAGAACAAAAACAGCCAAACACTAAACTTTATTGTTTATAAATGCACACATAGTTGGGCAAATTCTAAAGTCATGTGAAGTGATTTAACATTTAAGTCAGAGTACTGCTTCTGGGAGGGATCCACATTCAGGGGTATCTCTCAGAGAGGCTTAGGGTAACAAGTTTCTTCACTTGGGTGGTTTTACAACATTGTTTCTATTTATTAACCATATACATTATATACTATATACAATATACATTATACATTTTACTGTATACAGACTACAGTATACACAATGTATATTTATATTGTGTGCACTTTTCTGAATGTCTCTATTCCAAAATGTAAAAGATTTTAAAAAGAAAAGTCAATTTCTGTACATCACATTAATAGTTAAAAAGAGTAAAATCACATACATGATCATCTCAAATGTTGAAAACATTTTAAAGTCCCTGTTTTTAAAAGAAAGCATTCTTTTTTTAAAGATCTGTATCTATATATGTATATATATAAACAAGAACCTAAAACTGCAGATATTATCCTTAATGCTACAGGTTTTACCTTTGAGATCCAGACCAAGCCAAAGATGCCAACCATCAGCACTTCTCATCAACATCATAGGTTCTATAATCATAAGACAAGAGGAATAAAAGGCCTAAAGATGAGAAAAGCAGCAGCAAGCTCTTATTTATCTTGATTTTGATGGTTATATATGCAGAAGATCCAAAAATATACAGGGGCACCTGGGTGGCTCAGTCCATTAAGCCCCTACTTTTGGTTTAGTCTCAGATCATGATCTCCGGGTTCTAGAGTTTGAGCTGGGCTCTGAGGCTCTGCGCTGACAGTGTGGAGCCTGCTTGGGATTGTCTCCTCCTTTCTTTGCGTCTTCCCCACTCATGCTCTCTCTCTCAAAAATAAACATTAAAAAACACCAAAAATATACAACTTACTGTAAGAATTGATAAGAAAGTGGCATGTCTTAAATGTGGTGTTTTGATCTCCTGAATTCTGGTTACGTCAGAGACTCCCAGTAAATCTGAACCTCAGATTCCTTTGTTAGAGAAACAGTTGGGCAGTGGGATTGTTTATAGCAGTCCTCATCAGGGTGGTTGTGAGGATTATAATCAAAGACTGCATTTGAAAATGTCAAAAATAAATGCTACCTTAGCACCAAAAAAAGAAGGAAGGGCAGGAGGGAGGGAGGGAAAGAGAAAAGGAGGGAAGAAAGGCAAAGCAAGGCAAGGCATAGTGTCACCCCACAGCAGACACTCATTTATGAAGAAACAGCAAGCATCCTCGTTGTGAAGCTCATCCTTACTCAGGGTCTTATCTGGAAGTCATCTCTCAGGCCATCGCTACTTGGTTTTTGTTTTTTTTTTTTTCCTTAGTATTTAGCACTACCTAACATACTATTGCTAATACTGTACTCATCTCTCGAACAGAAATTCAGTGAGGAATGATTTTTGTTTTGTTTGCAGAACCACTCTTGCCTGACCTAAGTGTTCAATATGTGCTGAACAGGTTTTTACTCAGTCATCATCCCCGCCTGGTCTGTGCGACTGCTAATTATCGGAGGGCCCGGGGCCTGAGCCTAATGCTGTTAAAACCTCAACACTTCTGGGGCGAGTTTTAAACAGCATCGCCACCATTCTGGGGAAGAAGGGAAGAACTGGAGATGAGGTATGTGTGACTATTAGAATGAGTAAGAAGGGCAATGGGCACCCAAAAGTCGGAAAAGAGGTCTCAAAAAAGGGACCCTGGAATGCGACAGGCAGACTCCAGGTATCCCGAGTTAGCATTCCAGACCAGCGCCGCTCAGTTTCACTTGCCCACTTCGAGGAGGGGCCACTCTCCAGCCCAGGATTTCTAGGCAGGGCCAAAGAAGGAGGTGCCCCCATAGCCATCACAGGGCCGAGCAGGGTCCGGGTGAAGGCCCCAGGCCAGACCCAGTCGGAGAAGGCGCCCCGCCCTCGGGTCCTGCAGCCTGGAGTTGGCTCCCTATGCGGCGCCGGCCCCACGGCGCGGGAGGTACCTGCCTACGCGCAGCATAGCGCCCGGCTCGGTTGGCACCGCGCGCGCGAGGACGGCTGGGCCAACCGCCCTGCTTCTGGCGTTGCTGCCGCCGGGGCCCTTGCGGCCGGAAGGCGCCCAGCTCCCGACCGCGTCCTTGCTGGGTGAGTGCCCGGCAGCCCGCGCGCGCTAGCGCCGCCCCCTAACCCCCTCTCCCCCGCGGCCGGCTGGGGACGCCCCTGTCTGCGCCGCCGCGCGCCCGCCCCTCGCGGCTGCCGGCGGCCGCCCCTGGGGGAGGCGCCCGCGCTTCTCCGCCCCTGAGAGGCGGCCTCCGCAGGCCTCCCCTCCCTCCTCCACACCAGTCTGGTCCCGCAGAGGTCTTGCGCGTGCGCGAGACTTGCTGCAGGGGTTCCGCGTTAACTTTAAACAGAACAGTTTTATTTAAGCAAAAAATGAGTGTATGTGGAGACAACACGGGAACTGCAGTCAGGACAAGGAACTTATGGCGAAGAGACGAAGAGAAGGTCAGCTTTTTTTTTTTTTTTCATTTCTAAAATTTTTTTTTATTATTATTATTTTTACAAATAGTTTATTAGAGAAGGTCAGCTTTTATTAGGTCTTAGGAGGACATTGGGGAGGGTTATTCTGAACAAAATTCCTTGGAGAAGAACAAGAGTTTGAGACTGGACAATTTCTCATTAGTTGCAGGCAGCTGGGGCAGGTTGAGATCTCCTTTCCTTTTCTTAAAAGCAGGAGATAAAAAATAAACAGAAACCCTCCTGTGTGAAAAGTGCCTCTCGCTGTTAAAAGGATTATCTTCCTTCTTCCTGCTGCTTCGGTGGGCCGTGTGGGACGTGCGTGAGAGCTCCTCCTTCAGGGCTTCCTCGCTTCATTTTAAAGGTTTCCTTTATTTTCACACGCATCGTGTCTGAATTGTTACTGGAGCCACGCTCCGGCCCAAAATAAGTACCCCCTGCACAAAGCATTTACACTTGAAGTTTCTAGTTTTAAGGACTAGTTCCAGCTCCGCCGCATGACTGCCTCCCGGACTCACTTTCTAGCCACTTTCTGGTTTTCACTGTAGCAAAAATTTCCAGAGAAGGATACCCTTCATCTTTGCGTATCTCTCAGGATGCCCCTGATCAGCTAGTAGTCTGCTACAAGAAGCCATATATATACCACCAGGTGCAATTATATTTTTGAGCATGGTTAAGGAGCATGACCTTTAAAAAAACTTTTTTAAAGTTTATTAGAGACAGACGGAGGGGACAGGGGAAAAGAGAGAGGGAGACAGAATCCCAGGGTCCAGGCTCTGAGCTGTCAGCACAGAGCTCATTGTGGGGTTCAAAGCCACCAACCGTGAGATCATGACCTGAGCTTAATTCAGACACTCAAGGGACTGAGGCACCCCAAGGGACATGACCTTTTAAAAAATGTAGTCTATTTCCTAGAAAGAAAAATGAGTTTAGAGCTTTTTTTTTTTAATATTTTTATTTATTTCTAGGAGAGAGAGAGAGAGAGATATTGTGTGTTGTGGAGGGTCAGAGAGAGAGGGAGATACAGACTCTGAAACAGGCTCCAGGCTCTGAGCTGGCAGTCAGCACAGAGCCTGTCGCGGGGCTCGAACCCATGAACCGTGAGATCATGACCAGAGTGAACGTCGGACGCTTACCCGACTAAGCCACCCAGGCGCCCCTGAACTTAGAGCTTTAAGCTCTAAGTAAGTCCTCAAGAGCTTGGCACATTGTTATAGAGAGAGCCCCTCCTGTTCCAGGATTCTTTTTACCTCAATTCCTCGGGATTTATTGTCTCCCCACTTAGAAAAATGAATAGGTGGACACAAAATGAGCAGTAGGCAACAATTTATTAGAATATAAGATGAGAAAGTAAGAATAGTATGAAAGCTCTCTTTACAGAGAGGGGGCATTTGAAAGTGAATGCCCCCAACTATGGGCAAGGGACTTTATTTTATAGCGTTTTGGTCCATTCCCCCACCCCCAACTTTCTTTCCCTTTGTTGGGCTGGTAATTGTAGGTGCTCAGTTGTTCATTTCTGTGGGAAACATGGAGAGGGGGAGTAGGTAGTGTTTGTTACATTCTTAAGAAAAACTTTAAGTCTGAGGGAGTTTTTCTCATGGTCAGGTGTTCCCAGCACTGTTTTAAAATATGTGTTTTTTCTACATTCAAGGACCTCAAGTCCTAACCTTTTCCTCTCTACCTGTTTAACCCTATCTTTCCCTATCATACTGGGTCACAGGACAGGGAAACTGTAGAGGAGAGTTGCTCTAGGTGGGGACTGAGAGAGCCAGGAATCATTTAGCATGAGAACTCTGAGAGTCCAGGGTGGGGTTGCCTATATAGGAAATGAAGAGGCCAATGAAGCCTTCATTCTGCTCACCATCCAGCGAAGGTTTATCCTGAAGGCTCTGTATCTCCACCCTCCCACCCTGGCCTTTCTCTTCATGGACCTCACAAAAATGAAGCCCTGTTCCCAGGGGGAAGTCCCAGGGGGAAGCCAGTATGGACCAGTATGGAACCTGATGGACCAGGTATGTCAGATTCTTCAAGACCATGGACATGATGTGTTCTCACTTCAACAGAATGAACTTTTGTTCACATTAGGTATCCTATCTTTCTATTCTGTGGACTAGTCCTGTCCAGAAGAAACACAACATGAGCTATAAATGCAAGCCCCATGATATAATTATATTTCAGAAGACACATGAAAAATAAAAACAGGCCTACTAATTTTAATAATACATTTTATTGAAACTAGTCATTTAAGGAAATCTCTGCCTAATCATTAGATGCCCATTAAGCTACCTGATCAGACTTTCCTAGACAAACATGACAAGAAAAGTACATTTTCAGGAAAATCACTAAACAAGCAGTGGGAACACCAGTGAACAGCAACAATAAGCCAGGGATGAAGGAAATCTCATTTCTAGAGTTGCCACAAGATACTACCCAAAATGTCCAGTTTTCAACCTCAAATTATAAGACATGCAAAGGAAAGTAGGCTTGATAGAAAAGCAGTAAAAAAAAAACAAAAAACCTGTCTTTGCGGACATGCATATGGTGGCTTTACTATAAGACTTTAAGTCAGCAATTACAAATACATTCAAAGAATTAAGGGCAGTTGTGTCTAAAGAACTTAAAGCATAAGAACAATGAGAATGACTACTAATAGGAATGAGGCTTTTTGAGGGTGAGGAAATGTTCTAAAACTGATTGTGCTGTTGGCTGCACAACTCTGCAGATACAGTAAAACCCACTTAATTGTATACTTTTAAAGAATTAATTTAGGATATGTGAACTCAAGCAAGATGTTATTAAAAAGAAAATGAAAAGTTCTGAGAAATAAGGGAAAAGTAAAATTGGGTATCTTAACATTTCTTTTAATCTAGGTGTGTGATATATTTAATTTGTTTTTCTCTTTTGTCTCAGACTTTAAAAAGAGGGAGAAAAACTAACAAATTATCAGTTGGTCTCCTCCTCAAGAGTATAAACAGGAATTCAAGAAGAAAAATTTTGATTTCCTTTTAAAGGAAGCTTTGCTTGGGAGGTAATAAGGATTTTTTTTTCTCTTAAACAAAAGTAAAGCAATTATTATTTGAGAAATTTGAACGAATGAACAATATTTCAGTCATCCCTGAGCCAGTCATTTCATACAGTCTTGGGAATATAGTACTCTAGCAAACATTCCCAGCCTGTTCAGCTTCCAAGCCTGAATGAGTAGATATTACCCTTAGAAATTGGGGGGAATCGGCACCTGGGTGGCTTAGTCGGTTGAGCGTCCGAATTTCGCTTAGGTCATGATCTCACTGTTCGTGGGTTCAAGCCCCGCGTCAGGCTCTGTGCTGACTGCCGGCTCGGAGCCTGGATCCTGTTTTGGTCTGTGACTCCCTCTCTCTCTGACCCTCCCCTGCTCATGCTCGCTCTCTCTCTCTCTCTCTCTCTCCTAGAAATAAATAAAACATTTAAAAAAAAATTAAAAAAAAAAAAAAGAAATTGGGGGGAATCTCGCCCTATAAAACTCCTCTACTTTCCTTGCCTTCAGTCTCTCCAGCTAAGGGACAGTGATGGGCAACTCACCATTTCATTGTTGGATAAAGTCAGTCACTCAATTTCACTCCTTTCTCTTCCTTTCTCTTCTCATAATGTTTTTGATGATAGGGTCACTTATAAAGATTGATTTTTACAGAACTTGAATTTGGCCATTTAAGGCTCATCGTCAGCCTTGCAGAGAATGTCATGAGGCTGTCTCTTGGAAATTCCACTCATCTGAAACTCAAAATGATTTAAAAAAAAAAACAAAACTATTCATCTTAAGCATGAAATCATAAAGAGGAGAATCATGCTGATTGTGTTAAGGAGAATGTCCTTGCTCCTCCCTCATTTCTGCTCAAAGATGCTACTCACCAGTCAAGGCATTTCTTAAGTACTGCCTCGTCCATAAAATCTGTTTTATTTACCTCATTTCTTCTTCTAAGCTTCTTTATACCACTGACTTAGCACTTACTTTTATGCCTTATCTTTCTCATTAAAAAGATTTATTGCGGACTTATGTGCCAGACAATGTAGGGGTTAGAGACAGAACAGAGAATGAAAGCTATTAGAAAAACAAACAAAACTCCCCCAAGTTTTCCCTCTGTTCTCCCATCCTCCAACTAGACTTAGCAAGGAACATACACTTTTAGAGTGCTACCCACAGGGCCTAACACTGTTTCTGCAAGTCTTTTCTCTCTCATATTAAGTTAATGTTTATATTTTCTCCGTTTTTTAAATTTTTTAATTTCTTTGAAAAGAGAGAGAGAGCACAAGCATGAGAGAGGCAGAGCGAGAATCCCAAGCAGGCTCCGCACTTCCAGCACAGAGCCTTATGTGGGGTTCAATCTCAGGAACCATGAAATCATGACTTGAGCTGAAATCCAGAGCTGGACACTTAACTGGCTGATCCACCCAGGTGCCCCGATTTTCATGTGCTAATTTCCAGAAATGTATACCACATGTCTTGAATTTCTTAAAACTATTCCATGGGTTACTTAAATGTTTTTCTCTTTTAATTAAG